TGCAAAAGAAAGGTAAGAAAAATGTAAACTCCCAAGGCTTTCGGCACCCTTCATCTCGGGACTCTATCCCAAGAAAAAGAGAACAGTTTAGGTGATTACTATTAGCTTTTACAGCTCAATGCAAAATTGAACCATTGAAGAACTTTCTAGATTGACTTACTTTTCTCAAAGTGGTTGTGGGTTAAGACTCATTAAATAACTGCTTTTTCATAGCACATAGCAAACAGGTTTTTAATACGATACTTGAGAAGTAGGTTATTTTATTCGGTTGTGGTTTCTGTGGAATTTCAAGTACAATTTTTAAAAAGGGAGGACCATTTGTCTGGATACATAAGGTATTATGCATATTTTTGTTATTCTTAGTATTCTTTTTCACTTAAGAATAAAAACTAGGGATTTTTTGGGGTGGATTTGCCAGGAAAGGGAGAAGAAGGTCAAGAGGAAGTATTGGAAATGATAGACTTCGAAAAGCAGAGAAAAATCCTTCTATCCGAACGACTCAAAGGGATTTACAGACAAAGCTTACTGAACAGGCTTTGTGGGGAGAGAGCCTTATTCACAAAGAAGCCTGCTGACTTTCCCAAGGTCATTGAGCACAGTGAAAACTACAGTTAGGGAAGAAGCCAGGGAGGCCAGGTTAAGCCATCTGTTTGAACAAGTTTTCTACACTTCTGGAAGGTACCCACGATTCCCACAAATCAACCCATCTAGTTAAACAATGTTAATTCACAGTTGCAGGTAGAACAACTAACGCCACCCTTTGAAAACAGGACCCCAGCAGACTGACAAGATCATATGATTAAGAAAGACAGTGTCAGAAACACAAATTCTGTGGGGGTAACCCCAAGCCCCAACACGAAGAACCCTCATGGGGAAGTAGAAACAATAACTTAAGGGTTTTTTTTCTATTATCCCATCATTGTGAGCAATAGTGAAAGTCTCAGGAGGAGAGAGAACATTCGAACTCGACATTTCAAATGCATCAGAAGCAAGGTTTGTGTCATAAATAGAAAGAAGACTGTGATCTTGCTACTACTAATTAACAGCCACAAGCAAGGGGATGTGTTGAAGGGGGAATTGGTGTGTGCAGAGGGATGTGGAAAAATCAAAGCTTTAGGAAGCTGCCCATGAGAAATGAAGAGAATTTGTGTAGGTATTCTAGATGTTTTGAGCTCATTCAAGAAGAAATGAAGATCAAAAAAGGTCTAATAGATATGGTGGTTCCAGGATAAGAACTGGCCTCAGGTACAGGATGCAGACATGTGATCTTTACCCAGCATCTGAGTGAAGGTGAGGTTTAAAGGCACTGGCTTCTGATGCTTTCTTGGGCATGCTAACAGGACTGCAAAGATCACGTTCTGATGACTAGCCCTATCTCAGGTTTGCTGGCTCTTTACAGTGCGTCATTAGAACAACAGCATCTGGAAGCCTCTTAACTGCTCCATGACCAATTCTGATTGATTCAGAAACTATCCCCCTCCTCCCACAAAAAGGCATCAAAGACTATTGATGCAGTAAATTAATCCACAAAGTATCTGTTTATAATAATAATAATGCCTCCGTGATTATATTATAGGGGCTCTCTGTAGATTTTAAATGGGAGCAGATTAAAGGTGGGTATTTTGAGGGAAGGTTATCCTCTGGAAAGTGGTTCAATGGAGCCTGCTTCAAAAATCAGTAGAATAGAGCAATGCCATTTGGGATACAGTGAATAAAAAATTATGAAATTCATAAGCAATATTCTATATGGAGATTTAAATAATGTGGCGAGAGTGTGTGAAGGGAAGAAAGAAAAATTAATTTAATTCCATTTGCTGATGTGACTGCAGTGCAACTATTTTTAGGTATAATCCAAACACTGCATATCTTCTCCATTTTGATTAGTAGAAAATTGGCAGGGAGTCAAAAGAATTAGTATTTCTCAGCACATTATGCCAGGAACGTACAAATAAAACTACATTATCTGTGCCAATGTGTTTAATTTGAACTACTGCTAAGTCTTATTTTTCCCTTCGAAAGAACACATGGGTCCAGCTTTGTTAAAGACATTTAAAATGAGTCTTTCACAACTAGCAACAAAAGTTACAGAGTAATGTCACTCTAGCCCCTTCCTTAGAAGCCCTTGCTATGATCTAAATGCCAATATTCCTCGGATGCTTTGGGTGCAGAATTTCTGCCTGGCAATTTTGCATATTGTCAGAGGAAGCCAGCAATTCAACAAAATATGAAATTTAAATAAGTTGAGAAAACATACTTAATAGGGAAAGGTTTCACAATAGCCACTTAGAAGTTATTAATAATTCTAGTTCCAAAGAAAGCACAGAACAGAAAAAATAAACTGTACTGGCAGAGTTCTATATTGGCAAGGTCCTAAAGGGTCCATCTTATACACGACACCAATTATCCATCTCTACATTGGAGAGAGGATTTGTATACTCTGGATATTTTTGATTGCTACATGACTAGAAAACTTTTCAGAGCTCGACCTACTTTCCAACATAGCAAATCAATGAATCTTGATTGCATTTTAGTCCACTGCTTTGATTTTAAGATTTGAGCCTTTGGTACTTTGATATTCACAGATCCACAGGCAAGGGTGACTTTCTACATGCTCCCTACCCTCCTGCCATTTCTGCAGCATACTGTGTCAGCTGATTACTCAAGGCTGGCAGCTTCCTCCTCTCATTGCCACAGCTTTTGAGATTGGCAGACCAGCTTCCACCTATCCTGATGCAAACCAATGCCTGTCTTCCTAAAACAAAACAAAACAAAACAAAAAATCACACATACAAAAAAAACCCAAAGTAGTTTCCATATGCATTCCGAATCACTGACGGTCTGTTTGTGAATCTTTATAATGCCCAGTGGAGAACACAGGGGATCCCACAAAAATCTTTTTCTATTCCCTACCAGTACATATAAACAGGTTCTAAATTACAGTGATTTCTTCTGATTCACTAAAGAAATTAAACACATCTACTAAGTAGTTAAATTACACAATTTGTTATTAGAGTTAAAAGAATAGTCATGATTTTAAGGCTTGAGGTTTGCAGGCCCTATATACAAATTTTAGGTGGGGAATGCTTCTTTTATATAAGACAGAATAAGTAAGTAATCGGGAAACCAGGACGATGACGCATTAACCTGGTACTTTAGTGTCTTAAGATGAAACTAAAGACATTAAGTTTTAGTTTAAAGTTATGAGGGACAAACCCTCCAACAAGATGCATGCACATGCATAGAGGTGGGGGAAGCGAGAGAGACCAGAATAAACTTGGGTTCCTAGGGAAATCATGGTGCTATTTTATCCTGAGATGGGTTTACATTTCCAAAATAAGTTTAACTATTATCTTTTTAAAAACTTTACCATAGTTTCCCCTCCCCCTCTCCTTACCTCTTCTCTCTTCTGTGTCTCTCTGTCTCTGTCTCTGTCTCTGTCTCTCTCTCTCTCATTTTTCTGTACAAAAGCGTAAGCTTCAGAGCAGCTTTTGTTGACATGGATGCTTTCAAACCACCTTCCGTCTGCAGGGTTCTGAAATGCCAGCACCATTAACCTTTCTCAGAAGACTATCCCCTGAGCTTTAGGACATGTCATGAAAAAGGATGATGAATCCTGACTTTCCCTGGAAGAAACTGTCTGTTCATGTTAAAGTAGAGCTTGAGCCAAAACCTTACACTTTTCATTTTGGTTGCATTACTGTAGAGTCATGAAATGAAAAGCTTGTTTAAACGTATTAAATAAACAGATTTGGGGGAATGTATAACTAATCTCAAGATGGAATTTCACTATATCTTCTTGGGAACTAATTTTATGAAAAATACCCTATTCATTTGGTGTTGTAACTCTGTTAGGAAGTTAAATGATTTCCTGTTGTTTGCTTTTACCTGCCCACCCAGAACGTCCGCCAAAAAAAGATCCACTTATTTACACGAGAGATAATATTTTCTTCATAAGCCCTTTTATACAGTTCTGCTTAAACATGAAAGTATCTTTTTTTTTTAAATTCTAAACAGCCGTTGGAGAAATCTGCACCCACTGATCATCTGGAGACTGTGATTTTCAGTGGGAAAACAAAAATAATCCGTGGCAGTCACTTACCGCATTTCAAGTGGGCAACATTATCCAGTGGGTTAGCGCCTTGTTGCTCTGTTTCTGTGCATAGCTTCAGCTGAGTTACCTGACTCTGTCACACACACACACACACTCCCTTGCAGAAGATACACAATCCCAAATGTCGCTTCTTAAGTCAAGTGCAGCAGATGGGATCTTGAAGGCGCCTACAAGTAGTCTGGAATACCTTGAATCCGGCTGTGAAAATTTAGGGCAAATCTGTAGCTCTCTGTAGGTGAATACCTTATTTGGTCTAGAGGCATTTTGCTATGTGACTGAGTCATGAAAAGCTATTCAAAGAGCTCTCCGAGAAATCCAGTCTCTATTTTGAAGCAAACATGTGGTCTTTTTTGTCATCACTGACCCCTTACAGACACACAGTACATAACTGGATTGTGCTTCACTGGTGTTTATTGCACATGGACCAATTCCTCACACAGTAGTTAGTTGCACCAGAGTATAAATACTTGGTCAAACGCACAAGAGGAAACAGAACTTACACACAAGTGCTAAATTTTACCAGCAGATTCACGTGGGCACTTGGACATTAAAAAAATAATAAAAATACGTAAGATAATTATATTTATAATATGGATACAGTTACAGTACCATGATAAGAGTATAAAAAGTATTTGCCCAATAAATCATCAGCTCAGTAACATAACAGACAACAGAAGTTGAATGTGAATTTTATTTTAGTTTTTTTAAAATCTGACCACCTCCCCACCCCATTAAAAATATTTAATTTCTTTTTGTGCAAGTAACATCTTCTGTGGACTTTACAATTCCTAATACTGTGCAAAAAATGGCATTTTCAACCACCGGGTTTTTTCGTTTGCTTGTTTGTTTGTCCTTCTTGTTTTTACCCACAAGTGCAGTATCTGGTCTGTTTCCTTTTAATTTTTTTTTTTTTTTTCTGTACTATCTTCAGTTGACAGAGTCACATGTCACAGAGAGAGACTCAGCGCCTGGTCCTTCCAACTAATATTGATACATAAATAAGCTGTTTAATATAAACAAGTCTTTCTATCTTGCTGTGCAATATGCACAGGGTGAGGTAGAAAACCGTCAGCTGGACCACCGAGGCGCAGGGGGCAGGCTTTGCCCTACAGAAGGAAAGCAAGGTGACAGAGTTCCAAGAATCATAGCTTAACATTTCTTGAAACAAGATTTTTGGGTGGTTGTTTCGAATCCATCTTTTCCCTTTGCTTTAAGAACAGGAGACACCGTTACTCCGGAATTAATAAGCAATTTCTTTAGAAAGCAAAAGGAAACACTCCAAGGCTAATTACCACCCCCCAGGGCTCACTACTGTTCCTAGGTACAGAACGGAAGGCAAGGTGACAGACTCCACGCCCCTCCCCCTCCCCACCCAGTTTCCAGTTTCGGGTCCTAGCAGGAAGTATCAGAACCCACCTGGAACACACAAAAAAGAAATATCTAAAGATGCATCACGCGCACACACAAAAGAAGGCCGAACCACAGACAGAAAAGAGCCCAGGAAACATCAGTGAGCCACTCTCCCAACTCTTCCCCCAACTTTCCTTTCTGTGCACCGGTCCGTGGCTTTTCTGTTTGTCTTGGATGATTCTGACAGATCCGTGGGCTTTCACCTGCTTTCGATCTTGAGTAAACAGAGATCTCTTTCCCCTGGGCCGCGGTTCAGGGCTGCCTGCAGGAGCGGGCTCCTCTCCCGCAGGGGCGCAGAGCCCAGCGTCCAGGCTGGGGCGATGGGGACACCGGCGTCTGCGCGCCGGGAGCCTGGCCCTCTACACCTTGGACTCGGAGGCGAAGCCCTGGCGGCCCGGCTCGTCCAGGCTGGAGTCGCTGTCCACTGTCGCCGCCCCGCCGTTGCAGCCAGCCCAGGGCTCCAGCAGGCGCGCGGGCGGCGTGGCCCCGTCGTCGTCCTCATCATCCGAGGGCGCTCCGGGGGACGGCGGCGGCCCCGCTCCGGCCAGGCAGCCCGAGGTGCGCGGCCGGTCCCCATGCGCTGCGTGGCGCCTGCGGGCGGCCCGGCGCGCGCAGCACAGGAGGCGCTGGAAGGCCTTGCGGAAGTCCGGGCTGCGGCAGTAGATGATGGGGTTGAAGGCCGAGTTGGCGTAGCCCAGCCAGTTGAAGAAGACGAAGAGCCGGTCGGGGACCAGGTCGCGATGGAAGGCCTTCACCACGTTGGCCAGGAAGAAGGGCAGCCAGCACAGCGTGAAGACGCCCATGATGATGCCCAGCGTCTTGAGCGCCTTCTGCTCGCGCAGGGCCACGAGGCGCGAGGGCCGCCGCTTGCTGGAGCGCCCGTTGGCCAGCGAGTCCGCGGGGCGCGGCGGCCCGGGCGCGGGCGAGGATGCCGGGGAGGGCGGCCGCGCGGGGCCGCCGAGGAAGCGGCGCTCACAGCTGTCGATCTTCTTCACCTGCTTCTGGGCCTCGCGGAACACCCGCAGGTACACGAAGGCCATGATGCACAGGGGCACGTAGAAGGAGACGACGGACGAGGCGATGGCGTAGGCCCGGTTGGTGACGAAATCGCAGCACTTGGGGTCGTTGTAGCAGCGGCGCGCCTCGTCGCTCTCGGCCCGCCACCAGTGCATGAGGATGGGCAGGAAGGACACCAGCGCCGAGATGGCCCACACGGTGCACACGAGGGCCCGCGCCCGCGCCCGCGTCAGCAGGCTCTGGTAGCGGAATGGCGACGTGATGGCGAGGTAGCGGTCCAGGGCGATGACACACAGCGTCTCGATGCTGGCCGTCACACACAGCACGTCCACCGAAGTCCAGAGCTCGCAGAAGAAGGAGCCGTACTCCCAGCGGCCCCACACCACGATGGTGGCCCCGAACGGCACCACCAGCAACCCCATGACCAGGTCCGCGCTGGCCAGGGACATGATGAAGAGGTTGGTGAGCGTCTGCAGCCGCGGCGTCTTGGCGATGGCCACGATCACCAGCACGTTGCCCACCACGATGAGCAGCACGACGAGCGCCAGCAGCAGGCCCATGCCCGCGGTCCACTGCTGCGACAGCGGCGCGGGGCCCTCGCTGGCGGGGGGCAGCAGCGAGGCGGGCGGCGACACGGGCACCAGAAGCCGCGCCGCGGTGGCCGCGCCGTCGGGCAGCGGCGCGGCCGAAGACAGGTTGCAGGGTTCG